GTTTGATTTTAGAATTTGTGAGACCTATAAGTAAGAAATGTAACATAAGAAATTCTTTAGACTGGAAATGTTCAATCAGGAGTATACGCAAAATAAAGGTTATTGAAATCAAAAGAGAAAGGTTTTATCATTTTTATAAGAATAATTTAGTATTGTTGACTGCTACATATATCTATAATATACAAATGTCTATTTCATTAATATTTTGAAAAAACATCTATTTATCCACAAAAGTTGAAAACAATAAGTAGTGACTAAAATTTATGTGCTTGTAAAATAACAATTATTGTATGAATCTGACATCAACAAGAAAAGTAATAAAAAGCAAGTTTTATGATATTTTTGAAAAATTGAAATTTTTTACGTTAAGTTAAACTTGAAATAATTATTGCCTTTTAGAATATATGACGTAAAGACGTCGTATAGTGAGATATCTTAAATACAATTATCATTATTATTCCTGTTTATCGGATCTTTTGTCGTAATTATGACAAGTGACACGAATGTTTAGCGAGGGTAAAACATACATCAATCTTCCATTTTTGACATCATATTTTTATAGATACTTGTATAATCGTAGCAGTCTAAACAAAAAGAATAAGATTGTTGTATTTTTTGTATCCATCTATTATTCCATGGAAACTAAAGTAGAATTAACCTATTTTATGTTTGGAAAATATCTACTGTGATATTTTACAGATTTTTTTGTTCACCTGTCGTGTTCATCTTTATCCTGTGGCGCGAGTGTGTATCTTTATTTTAAGAATACTCAAACATTATTTGATTATGAACGCGTAGGATAAGTAACTATCATTATTATCTCTATTGATATATGAATTTTTAACTTAGTATTTGAAAAGTTTATACAACACAGTCACTGTTTGGATATTTTTTATGCATCTATTAGAAAAACATGAATTTAAAGATTATTAATAATTTTAATATGCTTGTATGTTTCTTTGAAAAGCCGTATAATTGTAACAAGCTTAGTCACTAGTTAATAATGTTTGATGTTTCAAAATAGTACTCGGACTATGCAAAATTTGATTGATGAGTCGTTGCTGTTAGTGTTTGTTTTAGTCAAATTCTTTGTATTAGCTCCACAGCATGACTAAGTGATTTGCGAATAGTACATGAGAGTTTTCATATTTATTAAAGGATTTCTTCTTCGAGTATTCATCTCTCAAAAACAGTTCACTCCAACTATGATGTAAAACAAAATTGAACAATAATTAATAAATAGTATCGTAGACAGTATTTATAATGATTCACATTTTATTACTAAATAGCTACTAGCTATTTAATGACTAACTTAAGAATATCATGACTATAGGATAAGATTTTCTTTTCTCTATACACAAAAACAGATTTCTGATTAAAAAAAAAAAAAGCAAGAAAGAAAGAATACTTGAATTCGATCGAGTTTCTAGACGATAACAACGACTTTTTTTTTTATAGAACAAGTTAAACGTATATGTTTATTCAGAAAAGGAAAAAATTCGGAAAAAAAAAAGAATGTCTGTGTTTCTTTCATTGTTAGTTGCGACAAATCTGATCATAGTTATTTAGTCTGATTTATTCATATCAATGTCAGCTGTAAAATAAAGACGAATAAAAAAGCTTTTTTATTAATATTATTGTGTGTTCACTAAAAAAAAAAGAGGCAAGTCGTTTTTAAACGTAATGTGTCTTTTCTCTTTTAATCAATCAGCTTACTGTGAAATCATTTTTAGAATTTAACAAACAATTATTATGGTAAGCACTAAAAACAATGAATTTCTCTTACATCTATTGTCATATAAACAAGTTTTCTGAGATTAGTCGAAAAGGTAACGTATTAAGGTAATTTTAAGGTAATAACGTATTAAGGTAACGTATAAGGTAATTTTATTATTTAACAACTAATAAAATTCAGATGATAGAAATAGATCAAGGTCTGTTGTTAGTGTTATTGTACTGTTTTCGTTTAAAAGAGTTATAGTACAATATCTAAAAGATTAGAACGATCAAGAAAGAAAACAGCATAAATATCGTTACAAAACATAGCATAATTTAAGATAAAACACAAATGATTTATCTATGCTCAATCATTGTTTTACTTCTAAAACGTGACCTATTAGAGTAGCAATAATTACTTTGTTAGAATTCGTAGAACAGACAGCAAGCTGTTTTTTCTTACTATGAAACGTCGAAATGTTCTTTTTTTTGTAGCTAATTACATATGGTATTTATGTTTATACAGATCAAAATCTGTCAGCTTTTCTGGATATCAAATTTGAACAAGTGTGACTTGAAAAGGCGTATTAAGTATAGCTAAAAAAGAGCTGCATGTATACTAAAAACATCCATCTCATCATCATGTTATTATGTTGTTTACCATTAATAAAAATTCTTCAAAGATACTTTAACAAAAACAACATGAATATAGATCTTTGTTTATTTTGATAAATACCTCATTTGAGTGTGACAGAAAAAAATTGACGATATTATTTATTTTTTATTTTTATTATTATTATACATACATGTATTTCAGCGTAGAAAGATGAGAAAAATATCCAGAAATTCCGAAAGAATCTATTTTCTAGCATATTTTTTCCGAAAAGTTAAATCATTTTATAGTAGAGATGATAGTATTCAACTATGGTAGTGGAAGCAAATCTTCTTTTCATTAAGTTTTTTTTCTTCTGGTGTGTAATCAAATTCTCTAAAGTTCTATCTTACGACAGAAAGAGTATCTTGATTTAAATTTTCCAAAAAACAACCAAATTCAAGTACATGTTAAAAAACTCAATATATTGAAGTTAAAATAAAGTGTTGTACTTTTGCATATTTGAATATAATCGACATTCTTTTCACTTCAAACTAAAAAATTCAAATGATTTAGTTATTGAAGAGTTATGAGAATTTTAAGCCATTCTATATTTAGCTGTTACTCGAATGTTTTCTTGACAAAATGAATGTAAGTAAATGAATTCATATGTAACTAATTGTATGTAGACAAAAGAGCCATTGAATGAGACTATAACATGACTTGTCTGTGATTCGTGTATCTTGATGGAAAAAGAAAGAATAATTGAAAAAATTGTTTGTTTTGAATTAAGAAATTAGCTATTCTAGAGGTTTTTTTAGTATTTTTCGCGTAGCAACCTATAAGATTTTCTAAAAAAAACAACGATGGCTATATGTGATTGTTAATAAACAAATGTCAGAAACTGTTATTCATCGATTAACTTGGAGAACCAAAAATGAAAAAATAGTTGTCGTGTAAACAGACTAATTTCTTTTTCGTATCATTCGCTTACGCTGCTCACTGAATGAAATGATAACATTTTTAACGCTTTGTTAGATTTATTATTTGACATTTGACCATCGACAATTTGTATTTTCTATAAAAAACAAAGAGAAAATGACATGAAATAGTCTCATATGTTCACATCACGACGGATTTTTATTAAGAATAATTGAAAATGATGTTAATATAAATTAACCTTTAAAAAGAGTTTCGATATTTTTTTATAACAACTTGGTATGATAGAACTACACTCACTTCATTGTATGACTTGAGTTTAAATAGTAATGTCAAGAGAGTATCAGTTTCATTCAATATATACTATTTTTGGTAATCATGAAAGGAACTTAATCTAACACATAGTTATTTCCATCTTTTGATATGCTTTACAAATTACACGTTGGCTTTAAATGATATAGTCATTATCAATATGAAACAACTCATGTTTATCATTAGTATTTCTATTTTTTCTTATGTTTTTTCCTTCATCTTCTTCTTCTTCTTCTTCGTCTTTTAAAAGTACTGTTTTTGCTGCAAAGTCTCATCATCATTAAAACAGAAGAAGAAGAAAAAGGATCAGTGAAAAAAAAGTAGTTTTTTAACAACGTAGTCGGAAGAGTTAAAGATGCCTATCATGGTACCAAGTAGTTTTTAACAAAAAAATAATACTCATACGCCGTTTTTTACCGTTGACAGAAAATAGAACAAGAAAAGGATGTAACTTTTTTACGATATTCATGACAGAAACTTACTATTCATAGATGTGTGAGTATATGTCTGTATTCTTGTGTATCGATGTAGTCATATACATGCGAAAAAAAAAAAAATCATAATAAAGAAGAACAAAAATGGGAGTGTAATAGTCTGTATGCTTCTCTGCTTTTAAATTATACGGACTAAGGTTTTTCTTTTCTTTTCTCAAATCATATTTCTTCTTTTATTTTTAACCCAAACAGATATCTTGATTGGGATGAATAAAATATTAAAACAAAAAAAATAGAATAAGACCAAAGGAAAAATAAAAGAAAAACACAAACCTTTATATACATTTTGTTCTCTATTTTGTTTTTCTATTGTCATATTACTCAAACCCATATATATATATATATGTATATATCTACTCAAAAGAAGATGTACAATATTTAGAGATTCATACAATTGTAATGATAAATGTCTGAGGTTAGTCTTAATTAACATATATCTGGATTCATGCCAGACCTGACTATCAAAATTCTCTCAAGCAACAATATTTTTTTCTATGAATTTTTGGCTAACATCATCAAACATTGATATCTAAAACAGCAATATGTTAGAGATTATTTCTTTTTTTGTACTAACAAAAAAAAAAGAAATATGATTAATGAAAAAGTGACGCGGTGGCTTTATTTAAAAGTTGATTGAACATTTCTTTTTCTTTTTTCCATAGCTGCTATGTACTCACGAAATGTAAAACACGAGGAATCATATACAATAAATATTTTAATCAACATATTTGGTAAAAATGATGTTCGTGTTTGAGAGTCAATTTTTATTGGTGTGAAAAAAAAATGTTCATGACTTTGTTTTTTTTAATATGATATAAGGCACAAAATAATCTGTTGAGAATAGAATATATCGCGAATAGCAAAAACGTTTTTTGCTATTATTACATCTATTCAATAGTTGAAAGAGAGTGAGAAAGTGTGTCTTACTAGCAAAATATTTGTGAATAATGATTACATTTGTAAGTTTTTTGTTGGAAAAAAATTTTATTTTAATGATAAAATTATTTAATTTTATTTCTTATTTTAGTTACGTAAACGTTTATTACCATCAAAAATGGGTCTATGTGCATCTGGTATGAGCTCCGAGGAGCGGGAAGCCATGGAAAGAAGTAAAGCACTTGATAAACAATTAAAAGAAGATGCAGAAAGAGCAGCGAAAGACGTTAAATTACTTTTGTTGGGTAAGTATTAAAAGAAAGAAATAGACTCTATTAAATAAAATATTATATTTTTCAAAATTATTTAAAATAGGTGCTGGTGAATCTGGTAAAAGTACAATTCTTAAACAAATGAAAATTATTCATATGGATGGTTATTCTAAAGAAGATTTTGAACAGTATCGTGAAGTGGTCTACAGTAATACAATACAATCATTGGCAACAATTATTCGAGCCATGGAAACATTAAATATTCAATTCAGTAGTGTTGATAGAGAAAGAGATGCGGCAATGGGTAAGTAAAATAATCTCAAATTATTTTCAAACAAAATGTCTATCTTTGAATTTTTGATATTTATCGAGTCGAGTACGAATAGTATCAATCTTTTCTTTGTTCTTATATTCAGTTCTTGACAAGATAAGTCGAATGGCTGATACTGAACCATTTGAATCTGAACTACTTGACGCAATGAAAAAATTATGGGTTGACAATGGCGTACAACAATGTTTTGGCAGGTATTGTAGTAACACATTGATATACACAAATAGTCATTGTTTATATTTCAAAAATCTTTGTACATAGATCGAATGAATATCAATTGAATGATTCCGCCAAATATTTCTTAGACAAATTAGATGAAATTGGCCGAACTGATTATTTACCAAGTACACAAGATATACTACGTACAAGAGTTAAAACAACTGGTATTGTTGAAATTAATTTTACATTTAAAGGTATATTTTAAGTCTTTTATTTTTTATACATAATATTTGTAATATATATTTTTAAATGATCAATTAAAAAATTTAGATCTCAATTTTCGTGTATTTGATGTTGGTGGTCAACGTTCGGAACGTAAGAAATGGATACATTGTTTTGAAGATGTAACAGCCATCATCTTCATTGTGGCATTGAGTGAATATGATCAAGTATGTTGTGTTTTTTTTTTTTAAAAAGTATTATTGAAATTTGAGCATTATTTATCATTTATTCATACAGGTATTAGTTGAAGATGAAACAACAAATCGTATGCATGAATCATTACGTTTATTCGATAGTATTTGTAACAATAAATGGTTTGTTAATACATCCATCATATTATTTTTAAATAAAAAAGATTTATTTGCCGAAAAAATTACAAGATCAAGTTTAAGGTAATTATGATAGAGAAATGATGATATTGTTAGAAAGATAAAACATGCTGGATTTCATACAAACTATAGACACTGGTTTTTTCAAAGAATAGACAACAAATTTCTTATTATTATAAACTAGATGCGAATTTAATTATTAAAAAATAGAGATTCATTTTGATGCGACTAATTTTATAAATAGTCAAAGATTTTGTAAAATGATATAAAAATGTTCTTTACTTATAGAAAATGTTTTCCAGAATATCAAGGTAAAGATGAATATACCGAAGCATCTGAATATATTCAAGCACAATTTGTTGCACAAAATAAAAGTGAACAAAAAGTAAGGTTTTTATTTACACATACTAGTTTAAACATTTTATTTACATTATTATTTTAAAAATATTTTTATTTTCATAGGAAATATATTGCCACTTAACATGTGCCACAGATACTCAAAATGTTCAATTCGTATTGTAAGTATAAATGACGATAAGAGACTTGAAAAAAGTCACGTGTGATAGTTTAATAATACAAACGCTACAAGTGATATTACTCATCCTAGGATATCGTATCGAATATGGATGTCGATTGTGATTATTATGTCTGTGCAGTTTAAAAATGAGATTGACAGAAAAATTATTGCAACTGTTACAGTTTTCAGATTCTCGTTATTTGAAGCATATTTAAAATCTCAAAAATTCTACTAAAAATTTTTCTTAAAAATTTCATTTCGAAGTGAGAATTAGGGATAGCCGTGGGACGATATAGAACGACTACTCCCTACGGAAGAAAATTTTCACCCTACGGAATTATATTAAATTTTTTTCACAGAAACGACTTCTTGTTAACCAGAATTTCTGCTGCTCAAGTTCGTTTGTTTTTCTAGTTTTAGTCTACATATAAAACTGTAAAAATCTGCTACTTCACATTATATATTTACACATCACAACACTTTTGTAACAAAAAGATAAACTACTCACTAACAAAATAAAGTAAAAATAGTGACAAAATTATAAAGTAACAGAAGATATCTGTCATTTTGAACTATTCATCTTTTCTACTGATCTGATAAATAGAATATTGTCTACTTGTTCTGAATTTAACTTGTGATTACATTACTACTCTCACCTACACTACTGGACTAACAATCCACTCCTGCTGATATGACGAGAATCGACTGAATTTGTCTTGTAAGTTCTGCTAATGTTGGAAGGCTACCATCGCGTCAGATCCCATAAGATTCCGGTCCTACTACGATTCTTGATGAGGCTGCTAATCGTAGTCAAACACTAAATGTGTTTAATATTCTCTTGAAAAAGTTCTTTAAGCATCAAAATACACATCGATAGAATAGTTCAATATTCTATATTATTTATTAAATTAAAAATTCAATAAATTTTTTATATATTGTACGGTTCTTTCTTTTTCTTTTAGTGACGCTGTTACTGATGTGATTATAACTAATAATCTTCGAGCAAGTGGTCTCTATTAAATATATCGTATTTTATACAAAAAATAAAACTACGCTTATTAATGAACAGATGTTAAAACATTCACATATACAAACACAAAAAAAAAGAAAATATTTTCTATATCGGCCACAAAATTTTTATTATTCTCTTATTTTCTTTTTTCTTTTTATTAAATATTATTATTATTCGTCTATTACGTACGCATTTTAATGTTTTTCTTTTTTAAAAAATTACTTTTAATCTAAAATCGACGTACGTACGCTCATTCATTCATCGTTGTTTGTTTAACAAAAAGAAAATAATAATAATCGATACATAGTATCTGATCTCGTTTTAAAAACAAAGGTGAATGACTATATAAATTTAAATAAACAACAAACAATACAATACAGTAACTTTGCTCAGCTTTGAAAATAACCCGTAAATAAATAACTTTTGAACATTTTTTTTTTCTCTGTCAATGTTGTCATACACATAAATGTTTATTTATTGTCTTTACTTTCTTCTTTTTCTTTTTTTTTAAAAACCTTATATAACCATAGAGTGCGACTAGTCATGAAAAAAAAAGCAGTACAATGACCAGAAAAACGCTTTTTTCTTGTACAAATCAAACTACCCTACCTCTACAAAAAATTTCAGACCCTATTTACTTTACTTAGCTCGTCAAATTTATATACTGGTCTATTCAATGAACGTAAGATATACTTTCTTAACCTAAATCAAACGGTAGCCCGGTTAATCTGACAGATAATCATGCTATTATTATTGAAAATCGATTATAATCGATATCCTTTCAACTTTCTTCATACTGGGATTAGAACTATTTGACGTTTAGAAACGCGCTTCTTGTTTTTTCTACATTATAATCTACTAAAACTAATTCTCATTCTGCCGCTTTTTTTTTTTTTGTATCTGTATTTTAAAATTGGATGTGTCCTTCTAATGGAGATGACGGATTCATATTCTGTAGTTTCTTTCTTTTCTTTGTTGTTTTGTGTAATCTAATATTAATTTTTTCAGTTTTTAATAAAGTTCACATCTCTCTGTTCATTATTGATATAGGCAAAAATTTTCTATTCTTTTTGACACCAAAAGAAATCCCGCTATCTATTTCGTTATTTTTTTAATGTGTTTTGCCGCTTCTTTCTTTTCTTTTCTTTTTTTTTTTAAAATAAACAAAATATTTATTGTTTTATTATTATTTTTCTGTTTTTTTTCTTGCTAATCTATTTGAGATTTTTTTTTTATACCCGAGAAAACTAAAGTTTGAGATACAGTATTGTAAAAAAGGAATGGTTCTAGAGGCATAAAGTGTAAACATTTGAAAAAAGTGACTTTGATAATAATCAGCGAAAACTTTCTGGGTTTTCGTGTATTTTCTTTTTTTGTTTTCATGTCTTTTGTGTGACAAATATTATGTTTATATATAAAAAAATAATAATTCTAAAGAAGAGACAACTCGATTCTTCTTGAAGTTAAAATAGATTGAAACATTTATTGATAACTAATACATGAAAACTAATCTTCAACACACTATATATCCATGTACAAAGTTTGGATAATTAAACGCGTTTAATTATACATTTGAATATGGAAAGCGTATACTGGTGAAATATCTGGACAGATTTAAACCGAGAAAGGAACAGCACTACAGGACAAATGTATACATTTCGGAATATGTCTATTCTAGAATGCCATTCCGATTTTTAGAAATCAAGCTTTTAGTCGAGTTTTCAGGTAGTAATAGTAGTTGTAAGAAGTACTATAAGCAAAACCAAACATCATATTTAAATAAAAACAATACAATACTATTGGGAAATTTTTACGCACGGCTTAGTTTTCCAAAGATCTCCTTGAAAATTCGTTTCACAAAACTCTTCTAGAAAAGATTTTGGTTATGAAAACATGGTTCTAAGTCTTCTCTTTCGATGGACTGAGTCTAGGTCTTCTATTGGATGGACAATAGTCGAACAGATATAATTCCGAAACCGTTTAAGTAGAACTTTATCGCTCAATTGATGAAATTCAGACCCTCTAATTTAAACTGAACTATTTTTAAACTGAAAAATGGCATAATCCAGAAAGGATATACAGAGAAAAAACTTATGTTTGCTAAAAATAGATGGCAAATACACAACAATAACAGAACCTTCGTAGCATCGAGAGCCTAAAGTGAAATCCTGGTCATATCGTTTAGAATAGAAAACGGCATAAATTGCCTATATGTAGTCCGAAAAAATTAATATTTTGTGTGATATTCGTACTGCGATTTCTATTTTCAATACTATTCTATATAACTTGTAGAACGTTTTTTAACAGAACCGTCAAGAGGATCCCTCTATACAAAAAGCTATTTTCCAAAAGGTGGGCGGGGAGCAATTTTCACAAAAATTTCGCCAAAATGCTCTTCTAATAGACGATGGACTTCAAGTATGTGTGTGTGGGGGGTACCGCTGGACTACTAGCAGGCGACAAACTTTGACCGCAACAGAAGACAATCCTTTAGAATTCGACTTGCTGAACAAAATAGAAGACCAAATGGTCTTCTATTATGGAGAGGGGGTTAGTCATAACCTGCAGAACACTGGTTTGAAAAATGAGAAAGTTCAAACACGGTCGAACATATTAGACTCAAACGTGAAATATTCATCATTCTAAAAAATGCGTCTGGATGCAACTATTAAACATATCTGAACGCGCCAATTTTCAAAACTAAGAGAACAACTCGTTCAGCCGCGTTTTATCGAACGAAAATTTTTAGATGGTATAACTAGACTAACTAGAAAGGCACATATAACATACTGCACGAAACTCTCTATAACAGGTAAGTCCAGATGACAATCTACCTAATTGTTGATAAGTTTTTCTTTCTTGTGTGTCATAACGCTCTTTATATAGAATTCCGGTCATTTCAACTTTTAGCAAAAGCTTCTCCCAAACAGTTTACACGATACAATGAATAGAAAATTATATTTTTTTGATTCGATGTTTATTCTTGACTTTTTTCTTCTATTGAAATCTCGAGTAATCAACAAAAAAAAGTAGTATTAATAACAAACACAAAAGTAAAAAAGAGATGCCGAAATAAAAAATCTAACATTCTTCCGTTTCATAGCATGTAATAAAAAGAGAACAACAGTCGAACCAATACAAGATAAAAACATGAGAGATGGACTTATTTTTCATCAATGCATAGTGTGTTCATTTGCAGTAAAAAAGAAAATAGTTTAATTAACGGTTAATTTGTTGCATTTACTTTAAATTTATTATTCTTAACCGGTTTCAAATTTAAACTTCGTGTACTTGCAAACAAACTAATCATTGTATTATACGCTTTTCGTTTTGCTTCATTTTTTTTGCCATCACTAACATACGCACATATCACAACACCTTCTAATAATAAACTAAAATACCAATATTTTTTTGCTCGAACTTTTCGTTCTCGTGCTGTTTCTGTTAAACTGATTAATGGTGGAATATTGAGTATTGATGTTATTCTAGAATATTCTTCACCAATACCAATACCATACTGACGAAAACGATCTTGCATACGATTAACATGAATAAGATTAATATTAACTTGAATTGGATCAATATCACTAACAGAAAACAACACAAAAAAGTTAAAGTGAAAAGCTAATTTTTAAGTGCAAATGCATTTGTACCTTTCCAGGTCTGTTGTATCAGAATCATTCCCATCACTTGCTGATCGAACGTTTGGACTATTATTCTAAAATGAAGAAAACACCAAAGTATGTCTGAGTTTTCATCGCATAGAAGCATATTCTAAAACAGGAGAGACATAGAAAATGCTTTCCGATTTAAGATCATTCAAGAATGCCTGTGTTTTTAGAATTGGCCAACGTTTCACTATATCCGGTAGTTTTCTTCTTTTGAACATATACCTGTGCACAACCATTTTGATAAGTTTGATCGAATGGAAGATTTTGTAGATCGAACTGTAATGAAAAAAAAGATTGTTCTAGTAACTGTTCGTATTGAAATCGAAGTAATAATTAACATACAGTAAAATCTAATGAATCACAATCATAATTCGGTAAAATTGAACCAAAACTCTAGAAAATTACTTGATTAGATATTAAGAAAATGTTATCAAATTTTATTTACTTGTAATGGCATTGTTAAGCCTAAATAAAAGACAAAAATTACTCTAATTATTATTTTTGACTATATCAGTAACTTTTCTTACCTGATGGTGCAATACCAACCCCAAAGCCAGGTGGTGGACTGCATGAGCCTAAAATAATTCGTTATCATCAGTATAGATCAAACATCGTTATAAGAATCTGTACTATAAATCTGTGAAAGATTTTATTTACCAGCTAGCATCGACGGTGCAGTCCAATACCATGTTTTATCTTTCCATTCATCATTCACTTTTGGTTCAAAAATTGATGGTACCAATTGATTCGTTGCTTTTAATGCATTTGCTAGTGCTTCTCCATGTACTGTGTAGAAGAATCAACAGACAATAAAGATAGCAAGAAAATAGCCTCATTCTTGATACTCACAATTTTTCAATAGTATTTGCATATATATTGATTCCCCTTCCAAAACAGATAATTTCACTGCATTCATTATGCCTGATGTTACTGTATCACGAACTTCTTTTGAATGATGACTAAAACAAAAAAAGACTGAACTTCGAAATGTAATATGTTTTCAAAGAGGGAAAGAATACTTATCGAACAATATAGGTTATTTTTGCAAATAAATTACGCGCTGATTGTTCACGTGAGATTTCAACTGTACAATTGTACATTTGTTGTAATAAACGAATACACGGACCCTAGAATACGTACAATACATCGCTAATAATGGAATATGATCATAGTAACTAGTGATTCAGGATGAACCAGCTTCTCTTGATTATTATTCTCTTCAATCTTATTGCGAAAGATTCCCCATTCAATTCTCTACAACAGCTTATTGTGAAAATATGTATTAGTGAGAACCTATACCGTGTGTTCCAAAATGTTTCCAACATTCTTTATTCTGCACATATCTCAGTCCAGAAATATGATAAAATTTTAATTTCTTTTTTAGACGATATAATTCTCTACAGAAAACATATTAAATATTTTTCTATATAACTTAAAAATAAGAGACTATGGAGGAAATATTGCGCATATGCAATCTCGAGTACTTCCTAGTCCAAAAGTCCAAAAGACACTGGGATACAAATTTATTTTAAGCGATTTTACCAAAACTCATCCAAAAGAACGAGAAAATTTGACTTTTCGTCTTAGCACAGTAGGCGTAACGGAGCTATAGAACTTTTTTCGTTCGAATGTAAAAGCAGAGTTATTTTCCTTCAAAATATAACAAATCTGATCTTAAAATGTTCAATTTTGGCGCACTTAGAAAAATTTTCTCAAATGCCTTAAGGCTTCCCCTCGAAAAAAAAGTCGATTTTGAGATTTCTACATCGCTGGATAGCCCAAAGTGTCAACTTTCGAATGCACTATAGTTTATAGTGTTAACGATGGATTTAGGGAATTTTTAGAGGTTTTTCTAAAGACCCAGTGCAATAAAAAAAAGTTATTTTTCTGTTTTTCGATTATTCAAAGTAATTTTGAAGTGCACGAATATGCTGCACATGCTCAGAGAATTCAGCGTAGTCGACAACCTATATAACTACTCTTACCAATCGTCAATCGGTTATTTTTGTCGTGAAAACTAAGTTTTAAAATGCATTAACTTGTTTTGTTATTTTTAAAAATCGTCTTTTTAAAAAGTGAGCGTCGGCGCTTCTAAAATTCTCGGATTGGTCTTAAAATGTAGCCAAGAGTTGGCATTACAGCTTAACAAAGCCGATATTTTATATTATTTTTCTCAGAAACTAAGTCAAAAATCAGAAATCCGGCTCTGTTAAGCTGTAATGTCAACTCTTGGCTACATTTTAAGACCAACCCAAGAATTTTAGAAATGGCAGAGAAATCTGGGAAGCGCCGACCATTCACTAATATTCGTATGATAAAAATCTAACCAACCTAAAATTCCTTTAGAATGTAATCGTTTGAACTCGGATGTTTTCATTTTGAAGGAAATCTATTAGACTATTATATATAAACACTGAATCTTGAATAACATTCTTTCTTCTAATATTGGAAAAGATTAGATTTTAGCTGTGTCCAACGATAGTTCAAAAAGTCAATCTTTATGTTATATGATTGAATTTAAACAAACTTTGTTACACACGGCGAGAAAAAGCACGAAACATGTGATCTATTTTGATCATGATACAATCGTCGAAAAAAATTCACAAAGTTGGTTGATTTGAGACTCACTTAACTTCTCAGACCTAGAAGTTTTCACCATTCAACTCAAAGAATTGAAAACGAAACCTTTTGAAATAAAAATGAAGTTAGGACAAGACGAAAGCACTTCTCGACTCCTGTCAATGTCTGCTTAGCTTGTAAAGTATCGTTTTAGTCTAATAGTTATCTTCATTACTTTTCAAAATTCAGGATAATGGATGGACGAGAGGTCAAATCTATCCGATCACAATGAAGTTTTCAGTTTCTTTTTTCCTCATTTCCTATATATACTCATAATCATTTTTTTAAAAACAAAACCTATGTAAAAGGATATTTCAGGTTAAAATCTTATAACAAAGCCATTTTAGTTCT